ATTAAACCATCTGCTGCTTTTTTGATGCAGCCATCTCTCCTCCCCTCTGCCTCCTTCAAACAAGGTATTGTGGCTTAGGGTTGTGTCTTGCAGGTCTGATTCTACAGAAGGGGTTGGGGTTTTTTCAAGTAAGTGCAAAATCAGAAAGAAATAAGTTGTAGAAGCCAGCCAATGCTATTAAAAGGACCGCGAAACGGATGAAGCAAGTAATCTCAAGCAAGCCACGGGTTTCCATGTGCCAGCACTCTCAGCAGGAGGGACTGTCTGGAAGGGGAACGTTTTCTCCATTCCACTAGCTGTCTGCCAGCACTCTCAGCAGGAGGGACTGTCAGAAAGGGGAACGTTTTCTCCATTCCACTAGCTGTGACCAGCTATGGAAATTAAAGTTCCCTCTCCAAGATGCTAACAGTAAAGATGTGCAGCAGCACCTTGCTCTGCGAAAGTCTTCCTGCATCACATAGATGGGCCCAGAAATTCCCCAAGGTATCTCCACCAGGCTTTCCTGCCCAAGGTCTCCAGAGAGGAGGGTCAGTGCGCAGCAAAGAAGGAGGCCAGACATGACAAGAGTCTGCATTGATGGAGACAGAAGAAGTCAGCTCCCAGGACTGTGAGGATAGCACCAAGGCGATGAGACCCTGGAAGGGGGCTGAACTAGGAGGACAACTACCAGGCAGTGCCTCAAACCCAACAGAAATTTGCTTGTGAGAATTGTAAGTGAGATAATGCACCCAGCTCACCAGTTAAAGACTACTTGAACTGCCTGTCAAAAAAAAAAAAGACGCACTAGAGCTATGCAGATAATTTTCATTTTCTTAAGGAAAGTCTATATTCAGTGTTAGAAAATAGGAAGTCTTTCAGCAGTTCTGGACTGAGTATCTCTGGTAGGTAGGAGACTGGATCTGCAGAAAATCAGTGACCTCTATTAACTCCAGCTGAGCCACTGGCAAAGTAAATTGTCACCAGTTCCCAAAAGATGCCATCATGGATTGCTGATTTACCAAGTATCTGCACAAAGGAGCTCTGCAGAATCAAGAGAGAATGTGCAGGAAGCCTGTGCAAGGAAAACTTGTGACACGTTCAGGGTCTCCTCTTATCAGACTCTCAGCTGAGGTACCAACAAGCATGGAGATTACGAAGATTTTCAACCCAGTGATCAGGTTAAAGGTCTACATCACCGAGAGATGAGAGCTCAGGAGCATTTGTGGTTTGCATACTGTATTTTAAGGTTTGTGATGTTTATTCTGAGAATACCCAGAAGAGAAGGCAGTATTGGCCACCGAATTGGAAACATGCAGCTACAGTGGAAAGATAGTGTGTGAGTATCTGGTATGTGACAGTTGCACTTGACATTCTACAAACCCCTTTAGTGCTGCAGTTGTGCAAAGAAAAGGGGGGGGCAGCAAGTTGCTCTTAAACCACAGCTTCATTTCACACCGGAAAATTTGTACACTATAGTCTCGACCTTTTTTTTTTTCCCTCTCCGCTGTTTGAAACAAAAACTTGTGATTCGCAACGAAATTTTGGAATCTTCGTCAAAACTTTCCATCCCTCCTAACAAAAGAGATCCTTCATATGTTAACAACAGGCAAAATCAGCAACGCTGAAGCGAACCCCATCTGGTGTCGCTCCCTGAGTTACTGTCACTGGTCACTTGCAGGGATCAAGCAGCACATTCTCTTCACCAGCAACACGGCACTAGTGCTTAGCAATGGGAAGTCCTTGTGAAGCACTACAAGGAGATACCAATGGACCTGGTAGAGCACAGTCATTCTGATGCTACCTTTGTCTCTACCAACCATCGCAGCGTAACTCCCACGTCCTGAGGTGTGCTCCTGCTGCCACATGATGCTGTGAGACATCCGTGCCATGTCTGGTATTACTGATACTGAGAAGCTAAAGAGTTTCTTACCACTATGTCGCTAGCCATCATTTCTGAAACTCAGCATCTCCTCCAGCTCTGATGCCCCAATCTCACTCTCATTTCCCGTGTCTTCTCTGTTAAATGGCTGTAAGCAAGCACAGAGAAAATGAATCCTAAACTCACCTCCTGCTGAGTCCCATTCAAAAAAGGCAGACCCTTGTTAGTCTGTACCTTCCCTGCATGGTTTTGTCTTTTCTGTCCTTGCTCCTGTTTCCTTCTGTTTAATTCCTTAACATTAATTAAATACAATCTGGTCTGGGCTTAGCATATGAAGACAAACTTCGGACACAAGCAACTTAGGTTGGAGTTCACCACTAATCGGAGCCCTGAAACCTTAGCTATGAGTGAAATGGAACTTACTGGCAGGGTTGGGAGAAAAAAAGAAGTTGCCTTCCTCTGTCTAATGAGCCTGCCTGGTCTCCTGCTGTCTCATATATGATGCTCTGCAGAGGCAACTGGTTGTCTGAGCTTTTTCTTTCTCCTTAGTCATATCATAACTATGGCACTACAAGAGGAATTACTAATAAAATATGTTATTGTTGCTAGTGTTTCACTGATTTGGCTTAGATCCTCAATCTAACAGTGACAAATCCATTGCAGAGTATCACTAGTGGCCAAACTGGCAAACCAGAGCATGATAAAGTCAAAGAGATTCCTTAAATAATTTCATTAACCACCTACTCCTCTCAGTTTTGGAGTAGGTCAGCAGTGTAAAATTTACATATACTGACCTAGATTTTTTATGCCAGTGTTGATTTTAAACTACAAGTTTTCCTGGAGGTCCTGTTTGTATCTGGAGACTTTCATAGCCAAATAACTGCCATTGCAACTGTTTTATTTTTTCTTATTTGTTGCTATGAGAAATAAAACCAGCTTTAAAAAAACCCATGCCTAAGCACGGAATCCTTTCCCAGCTAATTTATTATTTAGGAGACATGAGATGGGGGCACAAGAAAGGGGTGGTTTCATTGCTCACACACAGATATCTCCATCCAAGCGTCAATTCCCTGGTTCTCTCTCTGGCCAAAAGAGTGTCTCCATGATGAATAGAGATGCCCACTTGCAGCTGGATCTTTCCACTGACAATAAGCTTTTGTTTTGCCTTAAAAGGATATATTCATCAGGTTTATTACGGGCAGCAGAAAGGAAGAGCTCCCCCTGAAGCCGTAGCCTGTGACTCCTCAACCTCGCCCTTGACCAGCACAATAGTCAAGCATCAGAAGAGACGGGGCTGGTGGTATCACAAGTGGTGAGTCACAAAATGCTTCTCAATTACAAGAAGGAAGAGAAAATGAGACCTTTGAACGATGACTCAGGGTTTGAACATGACAACCGAAACAGTGGCTTTGCACAGAAACCAGCTCAATCCATGAGCCACGAGGACCAAGACCAGGGACACCTCTACATCCATCAGGGGAATCTCTGGGCTTCACATTGGCCCCGTGGACTCGCAGAGCAGTCCCGATGGACGGCATGAACCAGCTCACTCCAGCATCTCATAAAACAGGAGACTCAACTGCAGTGCCCTACAAGGCAGACCCAAAGTTTCAGTTCCTTGTCTGTGTTCCTCCATCAGCCCATGAAAACGGGTACTTCCCAGGAGCAGCTTAGCCATTGAAAAGAGACAATAAATTGTACTTAAGGTAAGAAAAATGAACTCCTCACTGAAAACAGAAGGAGTCTACACAAGTAGCATCACTTCATGCCTCATCTAGAGGTGGGTGGAAGGCAAAGGGGTGATATTTAGCTCAAATCTGAAGTTCACATTTACTTGATGGGATTTTAAGATCCAGATCTGTGTAACGTTACTTACGCTATTAAGACAAATTTCTCTTTATTTTGCCAAAACCTATGCAATTTCAGGTAGGCATCACAAGTATTACAGCCTCACTTAAGTTTGAATTTCAAACATCTCAGCAGGACTAACAGCACATTTCCTCACTCAGCAACATAATTTGAAGCCCAAGTGAAATAAACCCAGTTCCTAAATCATTTTCCATAACTCATCCACAAGAAGCAACCACAACAGCAGCAGCAGCAGCCAAGTCAGCAGCAGCCGGCTTCTGACATAGCCAGGAAATGGGGGCTTTGTTGCAAAAGAGGAATAGAAAAACACCTCATACAGAAAAATAATCCACAAATATGCCAGGAAATGGTAAGTAAAAAAATAAATAATACATCAGCCTCGCATTCTGGTGAAACTGTTGCTGTTGTATGTGCAAAGCTCCAGGAAGTGCCACCCAACCCCAAGTGCAAGTGGTCACCTGGAGGCAGCAGCAAGGGCCCTCTCTGTTGAAGCATGCAAGATCTTTTTTGGCAGGGCGGAAAGGCCTGTGGTTGGAGAAGAAAACCACAAGAGGTTAAAACAAAACAACATAAAAAAGGCGCATACGCCTGGGACATGGGGCTTTCTCAGTGGGTTTCAGATCACAGACCACCTGCCTTGCACAAAGCAGCTTTTGCAGAGCAATGGCAAGAAGAATTGCAAAGAGAACCATTGAGCACCTGAAGAACCCAGCTGCATGTCAGCAACACATGTGCCTGGAGGTAAATAACACCTATGGATATATGCCATGAAAGTGCTCTGTCTGGGACAGAAAATATGGTGTGATCTACCATCCGTGCGCGGTCCCTCAGGCATGTGCAAACGAAGGCAGCAGCCACCCTGTCAACAAAAACAGCCTGGGGCCTGCAGCCAAGGCACAGGCTTGTCTGTGACTTCTGAGGAGCTGGAGCTGCTGAGAAGCCCCAGGGGGCTGGCAGACAGCAGGCTGCGCTGGATGGTCCTACCTCAGGCACAAGCATCGCCAGGCTGAATCGCTGGGGAAATCATCGAGGAAAACCCCTGAGGCACCACTGAGAACAGATAACGATAAATGAGCCCAAGTTCTGGATTAGAACTCAAACCCACTTTTTTTAAAATTCATTTTGGTGCAGGTGCTGAACATTTTGTCTTTACCAAGAGGGTCCTGATGACATCACATCCTCTCCAAAGAGCGATGCAGCCTCCCAAGTCAAGTGAGAAAGATCAGCTCAGCTCCGCCACACCAGCTCCAAGGATGGCCACCCCTCGGAGAAGATGGCCGGGTCTCCTGCACTGCTCCTTCTGCTCGCTCTGGGGCTCTGTGAGTATGGAACCAGGGTTGTGCATCACCTTCACTGGGAGGGACAAGTAAAACTCTTCCACTGAAGCCAAGAAATTGGGTTAAATAAAGGGAAAATTCAAAGCAAATCCAAAAGGCTGACTTCGAGGTTTGCTCAGTAATTTTGAGGGTAAAGCCGGCTTCGCCTCAGCCAGCGTAGGGCAGCCGGAGGGGTGGCTGCAGCATCACACGCATGGGGAAGGGAGCCCGGTTATAGAAGAGGTTCTGGAGAGGAGGGGGAAGGGGAAAAAGGGGCTTTAGTGATCACGGTCTTCAGAGAGTCAACTGAGATCATCTGGGAATTGGTAATGTCCCTGAGAAGGCAGCCGAAAGGCTTTTCTGAAAGGAAAAAAAAAGTCCGGCTGGATGATTGCTGAGCACCCACCAGGGCACAGTCCTAGCAAGGACTCTAGTAAAACGTTGAATTCCTCCACAAAGGGTCTTCTTAGCATTGCATTTGACTTCATACTCCATGGACAGGGAACGAGGTTTGCCTGGAGTGGATGTGGCTCTTCCTGAGCAGTTCCCACAGGATTTCTCTCCCACAGGCTGCCCTGGGATCCACGGCCAGAGGGAAAAGATGATAGCCAGGTTTCGTGAAAGAAATACCAAACACCCCCAGTTGGGACAACGGCTGGAGCTCGAATGTGAGACATTCAAGGAGGACAGTGGCGTGTTCTGGGTCCGCCTGGACAAGAGTGGGACCCTTCACTTCATCGTCTATATCTCTTCCTTGCCCCGGGCTACCTTCAAAGGAAATGAGAGGACATCCACACGCTTTGAGGCAAGGAAAGATGGGAGTATCTACCGATTGGTAGTGAAGTCTTTCACATCGCAGGATGAGGGGCATTATTTCTGCCTATTGACCAACAGTCAAATGCTGTACTTCAGCCCTGGCCAGCCTGCCTTCCTCCCAGGTCAGCAACACCTTCATCCAACCTCGCTTAGCTCTGCTAAAATGCCCAGCACCTCCTGCCTGTGCCTTTTTATCAGTTATCTCTCCCACAAACTATTTGCCCTGCTTGCTTGCCCAAGGTCTCTTGTGACCAACTCACTGGTCCTCCTGCCAGCAGCTCTCTGCTTGCCCTCTCCTCTCGTGGTGTCGCTCCTGCCCAAAGGCAAAGATGATCGTGTCACCTCCTCAGACTCACTTCTCCATCCCATTCATGACTCTGAAGTGATAAGACTAAAGCAAAGTCCAACACCAAACCCTCCTTCCTCACCTCACACAGGTCCCAAAAGTCCTATCACCAGCAGGGTACTCTGGCTTTCTGAGGATGGTAGCAGAAAGCAGGAGCCTACAGCTACTTATTGGGTCTTGAGAGACCTTCCCTGGGAGAGTCACCATCCAAAATGGGCTCTGTGAAGTGCCCCCAGACCTGAGCCCTACCCTGGCCACAGGAACAGGCGTGCCCTGGCAGGGGTGGGAGAGCACAAGGGCAGGAGAGATGTTTTACTCTATTTCCCTATATGCTGTGTTCATTCTTTTTTACTTATAGTCATCACCACACCAGCACCTACCAGAGCAGCACCCACCACCCAGAGTGCCATCACCAAGAAGGACCCCTGCCTGGAGACCTCACATCCAGGTAACCCAGATGCAGGGAGGCAGAGGGGAAGAGCTGGGCTCTGCTCCACTGAGACCGAGGGGGATCCTGCCCACATTTGGGGGGAATAGTCAAAATCCATAGAGCTTTATTAGAGTTGGATAACTGGGTATGTGCAGCTGGAAGGATTAAACTGCATCTCACGTAGGAAAGGAGAAGGATGATGTAAAAATCACAAGCATGTCTCATGTCTGGACACACCAGGAAGAGGTGGAGGGAGGGTCAAGCCTTGGGGACTCATGCTGGTTTCAGCCTCAGCACGGGACATGAGACAATTTTTGGCTACGTGTCCTCTCTCAAGTTCCCAGAACAACGCTGAGAGCAGCAGCAGTAACGTTGTACTTGCTGAACTCCAGGCAGGATCCTTGACTCCACCAGATCTGGCCGTAACACCAGCCGTCAGCACCTGGTGGACCTTTCTTCTTCTCTATTTCTGCAGAGACCAGTGACGAGAAAGAGCTAAATTTGTCCTGTGACATCTTCATCTGGCTTCCGTTGGCAGGAACATGCCTCCTGCTCCTCATCGCCCTGGCAGTCACCGTCACGCTGTGTCAACGTAAGACTCACCCCTAACCCCCCATAGATATTAGGAGGGTTTTGATTGTATAGAGCTGACTGAGCTGGCAAGGTGGAGTGCTCATGGCAAGGATAAGCAGGAGCCGTGAAGTGATTGTGCCCCCACACTCAGCACTTGTGAGGCCACAGCTTGAGTGCTCTGTCTTTTCCGACCTTAATGATTCCATGCTTCTGTGATTCTATATTCTTCTAGGCTGAAACCATGGCCCCATCCTTCAAGGGAATGGATCTTTATTTGTCCCCTTTATGTAGGCATCAGGTACACACGACACAGTCAGACCAAGAGAAGGACCACTGTTAAGATATCACTGTCCCTGTTTTCCTCATCAGCAGGCTTAGCCTGAGAAATAATTATCAATTTCTGTACTACAAGGAAGAAAAGCAGATTATAAATAGAGAAAACTTGTTCTATCAATCTGTGTTGGCTCTACCTTCCTTAAATTCGTGTATCAGAGGTTATAAAAGGGTTAGCAAATTCAAATGTGAGACATTATAGCAGCTGGAGCTATAACCGAAGGAGAAACTTAATTACACAGGTTCCACAGGTTCGTTAAATCCATTTAACGCTCATCAAAACCAGTTTAACTTTCTGATACCTCCAGAAGTTACACTGATTTTATCAAAATGTCTCATCTTGTTTGCCTGGAACAACGAAGTGTTTTCTTGCTGAATTAACCCAACTAAATCCTCAGTGACTCCTCAGCCTGGAGATGATTTGAGATAAATTTGCCAGCTGACCCACTTAACACAAGTACAATTTTTCAATCATTCTTCAGCCCTGAAGCATACTAATCACCATGGTCTGCAGCAACAGGAAAGAATACATGACAATACACTGATGACCCACAGGTAAAAATCACACTTCCTGAGGGAAGCAGCTGGTGAAGCAGCAGAGCAAAAAAACCATAATCCAATGTCTGTGTTCCCAGGCTGACCCTGCCACTGTTACACACACAGAAATTTGATCCATGAAACTACGTAACAAGACTGCTGGGGACATGCGAGCTGCAGTACCACTCCCTTGCATAGTTTTCCTCAAAAATAATCTTGGTTTATCCATTGTTAGTCTTGAAGAGGGCAAGCTGCCAGGGAATGCCAGCCCTACCTCGCTGCAGCATTTCTTTCCTGAGCTGTGACTTGACATCTTGGAACTAAAACATTTTGTTTTATTTTCTTATTTTAGGAACCAGAAGACGAAGATGCAGGTGTAAAAGGTTAGTAAGTGACGAGTGTTGACATTTTTCTCTTAAGCTCAGCAACATCTCACCCTCCAGTGATAAAGCAGGCAGCTGCCAAACAGAAACCTAAAACTTCATCCGATACACGGTGAATGGGAGGGGGGACTGTCTAATGAATTAAGGGAAGAAAAGAGAGATAGAATTCTCTCCTCCTATGTTTGTTTCCTTTTTTTTAGTATTAAGAAATTCAAATCACTGAGAACTGGCACTGCAGCAGATAATAAACAGAAAAGCAGGAAGTATCTCTGGCAGCCTAAAAACTTTGAGCATCACCTCACACTTAACAATACCACAGATATGCACTTCCAGAGCAGGACTCCAGCCCAGGGGTGA